TATGGTGCAGATTGTACCATTATGAGGCCACCAAGCAGCCCAGGAGAATACGTTCTCTGGGAGATCAAGGGGCACGAATGAGTCCGTGTGTTGATTTGCGGTCGTAATCGAAACATATGTCTCTTGCATGCTCAGTCTTGACGGGGCCGGACATTGCGGTCTGCGAGGTTTCCATCGGTGGCAATTGCATCTTGCACAAGCGCTCTGAGCGCAGCCTGGCCCTCCTCGCTATGAAAGTCTTCACGCTGGGCCAACTCCTCTATCCTTCTCCTGAACTCGGGGTCGACTTCGCTCTCGTCGTTTTCGGCTGGGTTGACGGCGCTGACAGAAAAGTTGAGTCCTTCAGGTAAGGGTGGCATGTCACTGCTATCTTGTACAGGTTCGCCATTAGTCCCATTCAATAGATCTCGGGCCCGCTCTGCTTCTTTAATCTTGAGGTACTCGGCAACGTCTGGAAAGTCATCCTCCTCGGTGATCTTTTGGCGAGCAGTGTAGCCGTCAGATCCTTTAATCATGACCTCGGCGCCGAGTTCTTCGACGAGGACCTTGGCTGCATCGACTGTCTCAACAACAAATAACGCGGTCTCCTCGTCTTCATCGCGTAGGTTAACGTCAACTTTGAACTCTTGGACAAGGGTACGTAGAAGGTCCAAGTGGTTATAGCTAGCGGCGGCGTGGATTAGAGAGTACCCGTGCTCATCTTGCTGGCTGGCTAGAGCTGGATTTTCGCGGAGGAGGGGCAGAAGAGCCGGACTGTTGTCAGCGGCGAGAAGGAACGGATTTGGAGGCATGATGATGGCTCCAAGTAAATTTCTATATAGAACAGACGAGTTGTTGACGTGGGACGCTTCCCAATAAGACGACGCTGGTAAGCGCAAATGTTAGGTTTTACTCTGGCTGAACAGAAGCGACGGACTTTGATGAGGTACCTAAGTACCTAGCTGCACTTTTTTCTTGGAGGGGCTCACCGTGTGACGCATCATGGATGGCCGAAATACCCCGCCAAACTCGCGCTGAAGGGAGAATTACAGCGATACAGTGCTGTCCTAAAAACGGGTACCTTTAGGTAGGATTGGACTACCTACCTTGGTAACGTGCTGCACCAAAAGCGGCTAGCAACCCTAAGTAATTTCGGGATTCCAGTACATACTTAGTAGGCATGTCAGCCAAAAAAGCTCGTGGTGATTGATATCTTTCAAGTGTAAAGGCGACATAATTCTAAGTTGGTCCATCCTACGGCAGTACCTCAGTATCCTACCCTAGTTTTGGTATCTACTACGCCCTTACCTAATAAACAGGTAGCCACTGCCTGGATGGACAGTCCCAGTAACTGAAGGGGTCAGGTCACTGTGTGAGTGACTCATGCGGGCAGCTATCGCCTCCCTGCTCAAGAGATTGTAAACATTTTCTACTTCTGTTCCCGTGTACTGTGTGTCTTGCACTACCAAAGAGCTTTTCGGAGGACTGAACCCTCTTTATAGTCCATCCGATCTGTCTTACCGTTACCCCCTCGCTTTCATATAATAAACGAATGAGTAGCGAGGACAACTGGCCGGCTAACTTGCTACTCACAGTTCACTTTTTCGTTCTACATCTGCCATATCTGCCACATCTGGTACCGATAGGCTCACTACTGGGGCGTCGAAAGTTCATCACGCTTACCTGGCCTCGCAACCCAGATTAGTATCACCTAGAGCCATTGGTTTTCTCGATTATTCATTCCCCGACCGCCAGCTCGTCATGGATCTTTCCAAGGCTCCATACTGTGAGCAGGACCCTCAACAGAATTCCCAACTCGTTCACGCTCTGAACGACGGGACCAACAAGGCCAAGAGGGGATTCAAGGTCAAGAAGACGACTTTTAAGATCCCCGGGTCGCCCGATGGCCTCAGTGTCGACTCGTGGCGCTTTCAAGACTGGGATTACAAGAAACCCAACCTACCTACCTATGCGCGCGGTCTTTTTACCACTAGGAACCGCCATAATGATCACGAGATCGCCGTGAGAGGCTACGATAAATTTTTCAACGTTGGCGAGGTTTTCGACACGAGGTGGGAGAACATCAGGCGCAAGACGCGAGGCCCCTACGAGCTCACTTTGAAAGAGAACGGCTGTATCATCTTTATCAGCGGCTTGGAAGATGGAACTCTTCTCGTTTGCAGCAAGCATTCGACCGGAGACCGGAGTGATGTCGAGGTGAGCCATGCCAGTGCTGGCGAGAGATGGGTGGACAAACAGTTGGCCACCATTGGCAAAACCAGAGAAGAGTTTGCTCAGGAGTTGCGAGGCAGAAATGTCACGGCGGTTGCCGAACTGTGCGACGATGGCTTTGAGGAACACATTCTAGCTTACGGACCGGATAAGGCCGGCTTGTATCTTCATGGTATCAACGTCAACGTCCCAGAATTCATGACGTATCCGAGCGGTCTTGTGCAGCAATTCGCAGATGAGTGGGGTTTCCGAAAAGTTGGGCTCCAAGTATTTGATGATATCGACACCGTCAAGAATTTCCTGGAGGAGGTTGCCGAGTCTGGTGCACACGAAGGTCGAGACGTTGAAGGGTTTGTCATCCGCTGTGGACTGTCATCCGATGTGGAACAAACGAAATACATCGACTGGTTCTTCAAATACAAATTTGAAGAGCCATACTTGATGTACCGACAATGGCGAGAATGCACCAAGGCCCTTATTGCCGGGAAGCCCCCCAAGTTCAAGAAGCATACCAAGATTACCGAGGAGTACTTACTGTATGCTCGTCAAAGATTGGCCAAGGACCCGAAATTGGCCAAGCTTTACAACCAGAATCACGGCATCATCTCTCTTCGGGACGACTTCCTAGCGCATAAGAACCTGAAAGGTTCCGACGCTGCAAATTTTGAGAATGTATTTGGAAATGATACCTCTAGCGTGTCTGGTGACGTTGTTCTCGTACCAATCGCTACCATTGGATGCGGTAAAACCACTGTTGGCGTAGCTTTAACCCATCTGTTTGGTTGGGGTATCATCCAGAACGACAATATTCAAGGCAAGGGTCGTCCCGCAAGAATGGTTCAGGCTGTTATGTCTTCTTTGATGGAGCATCCCGTCGTTATTGCTGACCGGAATAATTCTGAACGTCGAGAGCGAGAGCAAATCATCAAAGATATCCTCATGCAGCACAAGAATGCCCGGCTCGTAGCTCTGAATTTTGCTCATGGCAACATTGATGAAGTCAGAAGAGTTACAAGAGATCGAGTGCTGAAACGTGGCAATAATCATCAAACTATCCAAGCGGCATCGGATGAAAATAAGGTCATTGGTATCATGGAGAACTTCATACATAGATTCCAGCCTTGCGACCCAGAAAGCAGCCCTGACGATGGCTTCGACCTCGTTATCAACCTTGACCCTGCTCAGAGTAGTCGTGTGAACGTTGAGAAAGTGGTCACCGAACTCCGCAAGAGATATCCTTTGCTGATTCCGGACATACCAAGTGCGGAAGATATGGACACGGCTGTAAAGCATGCCATTGAGGACTACTCACCGAACACAAGACATCAGATACCTGATCGCACGACTAAACGAGACCAAAGGCGCCAAGATACACAACAGTCACATGAACCCCAAAAGAAGAAGCCGCTCGAATATATGTCTGTTTCAGTTCCCGCCAAAGAGGTCAACGTGGCACTTGAATCGGCCTTCAAAGGCGTCGATCCAGAAATGCAGCGATTTTACAAGCAGCTCCAGCAGACCCGGCGCATCCAGCCTCTTTTTCATGTTACCCTCATGCACAAGGCCACTGCTAAACAATATCCTGAATTATGGCAGCGCTACACTGCCCTGGAAGCTGAGAGCCAGTCCGTAGATGGCAAGGTCGGTGAGTGCGAGGTCATGCTCGAGCGTGTCGTGTTCAACGACCGAATCATGGCTATTGTGGTGCGGCTACTAGATCAAGAGGACAAATGGACTTGTGTCAACAAAGTAGCACACATCACAGTGGGCACACGCGATGATTGGGTCAAACCCAAGGAAAGTAATGACTTACTAGCTCGATGGCTTGATGTTGGATGCGGAGGTGATACCGGCATCTGTGAGGAGATATTTGAGGGAAAGCCAACGTTAAAGGGAACTGTTCGTGGTGTACTGTCTAAATAGGATGAGGATCGGCCAGGGCAAAAGGTGTATCGGCGTTTCAGGAGAAGAGGCGCTCGTTAAGCGGAACAATTTTGGGATTCTCGTAGGATGCTATTGCCTACGTTGTGCGTGGCTAAACATCAGCTGCAAGCACACACCATACTTGCCTAAAACTCACCTCAGCATTCGTCGTACTAGTGCTATCATAACCCAAACTACTAGGTAGTAAACGACCACATGAACCCGTGGACACGGCAATAAAGATAACTTAGATGGATATGCTGCAATAACCGACGAGTAGTACATCACTTGCTACTACCTTTATAAACATCTCCATTTGAAATCTCTGTATGAGCTACGTGATACGAGATTTAGAATATCTTCCAACGTGGTTCCACACTGCGATAAAGTCGGCTCGCATGTCTCAATGGGTTTACTGGCTGTTTGTGATTGTGAAGCTAGGCACGGGATTTCATTTTATCTATCACCTCAGTTTTGATTTCGAACACTTACTTACCTGCACGGGTGGCTAGTGAAGGCACCATCGTAAAGGATACGTTTGGTATTTTGAATATATAGGTAGGTAACCCTTCAATTTTCCTGGTTCCTGCCTCCCTTCCCCCCGTCCCCGGCGGTTGTCAATACTCTCGAGAAAACCAAACCCAAAAACGGTACGTTTAGCTATTCATGATATATATACAAGAAAGCGTGTGACATATAGCTACCTATATACCGAGAGCCTCAATCTACCTACTGTGTAGTTATCTAGTAAGTCTAAATTAGTGTACAAGTAGGGCAACATTTCTCTCCAAACTCCACCAAACTAGATCACGACCGGTATAGCCCACATTACAACGCTCGCTCAACCACACACACAAACAACAAAATCTCGATTGGTCTAGTGGTCAGGATACCTGCTTGTCATTATGTGTATTCGATTCATTAGAATTGTCTTACTATGGAACAAGCCGCAGGTGGCCGGGGTTCGATTCCCCGATCGAGAGATGCTGATTCTCTTTTGCTTGCCTCTCTTGCAGTCATTGTTTTCTTTTTGGAACCTTTTAGCCGGATTCAATTTAGGGTTTTTTGTTTAGTGGTGACCAACATCGATCGTTCAAACTCTAGTAAATTCTATATGCCTACCGGCTTAGGCGGATCAACGTTGTCATTTAAGGTATTATCCAGGAGAGGTAAATAGACACTCTCACAGCCCGGAACATTTTCATAATGTTCTTGGTGTGTGGTGGATTGCTCCTGAATGATAATGAGTAGCAGCGAAATATGACGAGGACAAGTATAACAATATATTGTAAAATGAGATTCATTAATGTTTTCACTTCTAACAATCTCTCTAATATCATTCCAGAGCCCGTATCCTAAGACAATGCAGGCTGATGGGTAGATAGTAGAGAAAGTCAAAAAGTAGCCAACTACTGGCTAGCTTGTAGATATAGCTGTTCTTCACTTTTCGCATGTCAAGGGGCCGTTATTAAACCCAGCCAGCAGCTCGTCCACACGATCTTCCATTTCCCGTATTACAGTTTCACTAAGATTATATGGGCAAAGTATTTGTAACTTCGGCGAAAGCACTCCATTGTTTCCATGCTTCACCACTTTTAATCGTCCACCTCGCTCTCCTGACTCCTTCCTTCCAGCGTCCGTTACCGGGACCTCTCTCCCTGATAACTTTGCCATCATCACCAGGGCCCATGGCACTCGTATCAGCCTCGCAGATACCCGAGACAACAAATAGAGCCGCCGCGTTCATGAGCACAAACTCGAGGATAGGATCATCGTCTGGTAGTTCGTCCTGCAGGATCTTGCGCAGAATTTCTGCGTTTTCATGAGGTTCTTTACCAGGCGAAACAGTGCTGAGAGGATGTGCACCAAGCCCGAAGTCCTTAGGCTCGATCAAGAAATGCTCGACCTCTACGCCGTTACCGTCGCCACGCTCACCTAGCTGCCAGCAGAGAGTAGGTCCAGCGCACGAGATTTCGTCGAGTTGCTCTTGGCCGCAGACCACTAGCCCCTTCTTCGCGCCAGCCAACCGTAAAGCCTCAGCGAAGACGGGGCCTAGGTCGTCGCGCGCAACACCCAACATACGTGCTTCGATGGCGTCGTCAAGGGGGTTACTCAAAGGGCCCAAGAGATTGAAGATGGTGCGCCATCCGAGCTCTTTACGGATGGAAGCTACATGCCTCATACCCGGGTGGAAGACAGGGGCGAACAAGAATGCATATTTGGTGGACTGGTAGACGGTGGAGATGGTATCGGGGGTGATACGGGCGAGCTGGGCAGGCTTTGGTTGCATGTTCATGAGCAAGTCGGCAGAGCCAGACTTTGAAGTCGACGCGCGGTTGCCATGTTTGGCGAGGAGAAGCAGAGTTGAGCCAAGGATGGAAGATGTTGTAGAGATGTTGAAAGTGTGGTGAGAGTCGCCTCCTGTGCCAACGATGTCGCACTACGGAATAAATTAGCGTAATGTCTTCGAGTTCCTACCCCAAACTTCAGCAGATGGCTTCTAGGGAAAACCCACCAATCCACCTAAATATTTCCCTTCCGGCCGCCGTTTGCTTGATATAGCATCCTCCAAGCTCTGAAAGTCAATCTTGGCCGCATGGCGCCGCATAGCGGCCGAGGCTTCAGCCAAGACATCAGCGCGACGGTCCCAGCCCGTGAAATGCAGAGCTGTCAGGAGCGAGCCCGTCTGAACTGGGCTTAGCTTGTTGACGAAGATCAGTGAGATAGCATCAGCGATCTCGTGAGCCGTTACTTTCTCCTTTTCGGGATCCGGCCACAGACGCTGGAGTAAGGGGCGGATATCGACCAGAACTTGCTGGTCTTGCATCGAAATGGAATTTGGCTGCGAGCTCGTTGCAGCGGCCATGCTGCCAAAGATGCCGAGTTCGGCGAGGATATTCTCAACGAGTTTCTGGTGACCTGTCTCCGAATCGCGACAGAATTAACTAGGTTGAGAGGAAGTGAGATTGAAGCCGAGAAAATTCATAAGTATACTTATCCAAAACAACTCAATTGGCCCGCAGTCTTCGGAATGTGAGACTCATCCGTCCCTGCAGATGACTCAAGTGGTAGGATAGAACCCCAAGGTGTTGCTGCCGCTGGTAGTCTTGCTGCCCCGCCATCGTTGTCATTCCAATGCTTAAACCGATGGAGGGGCAGGGGCAAAGACAGGGGTAGCAGGGACAGGGGTGGTTTGGAGGAACCAAAAAGATCCTTATCAAAGTTATCGTACAGTTATCAATTGGGGCGGTGGAATGCGGCAGATAAGCTGAGCCTAGAGACAGAAACCCCGATCTCCGACCGCCTGGCCGGACCCATCCTGGTCCGGGGCTTGGAGAAGCAAGCACGATCCACTTATTTTCATCTCAGCTTTTTGCGACAGGCCGGTGCCAGTCTGGTCTCCAGCGAGGGCAAAGAGCATCACACTCGCCAACTTGACGACAACGACGACACCAGGGTCGAGGTAGAGGAGGTCCGAGAAGGCAGATTCAGTTGCGACCCGTCCGATTACGCACAATGCCGCTGCGGCTCAATTGCTCTACGCGCAGTAGCGTAGGGCGAGCTCTGCAGCGAACCACGACAAGCGCGGCGAGAGTGCCAGCCCTCACCGTTCAGAACGCGACAAGGGCTGCTTCAAGGCATTATGCAACAGCAAGTTCCCCAGTGCCCCTCGGCGCTCTGAGGCTACCCGACGACTACATTCCTCCAACCCAACCCCCAAGTGCCAGGCGGCCCGAGCAGAGAAAGGCCCAGCTTCTTCGCTCCTATACAGCAATGCTGCGGTCGACGCCTTTGATGCTCTTCTTCCAACACAACAATCTAACTGCCGTGGAATGGGCCGCCGTGCGGCGAGAGCTGCGTGCCGCCCTGGCAGAGGTCCCGCCGCCCCTTGCCGGGCCCGACGGCACTGTCCCCGTCGACATCACATCCAGCATTGAGTTGCAGGTGTTGCGCACGCGCATGTTCAACATTGCCTGTAAAATTGTCGACTACTTCAAGCCCGAGGACCAGGCCGAAAGATCGAACGCGTACACACACGATCTGTCCAAGACGGCCTACGAGTCAATCAAGAATGCGACCGTTGACGAGTCGTCCATATACGGCCAGATCAACCCCTTAATCATAGGGCCCGTTGCCGCTGTAACTTTCCCCTCGGTTTCACCGGCGCATTTGGCAGCCGTACTCAGGGTCCTTGCTCCGTCACCCCCCGCGTTCCCTGCTCCCACGCGGAAGAAGAACCCCGGATACCACGACCCCATCGCCCAGAGCGGATTCCAAAAACTCATCCTCGTCGGAGGCAGAATAGAGGACAAGGCATTCGATCTTGACGGAGTCAAATGGGTTGGTGGCATCCAGGGCGGTCTCGATGGACTGCGGGCACAGCTCGTTTCCCTGTTGCATCATGCTGGCCTTGGTCTTACCACAGCATTGGAGGGCCATAGCAAGGGCCTATGGCTAGCTCTCGAGGGTAGACGGACACAGCTGGAAGAAGAATCCAACGGTGGCAAGAAGGAGGGCGAGGCCGAGAACGAGACCAGCGCCTAGAAGGCGTGTACTATTCATATGTATGTGCTATAAAGCGATGTAAAACAGTATACCTAGAACAAACAATGTATATGAATCTACGGAAGCTATCATGGTGTATCTACCAAAGCAGTGCCCGGTATCTTGGGCAAAAGTCGGGCTCATATAAAAATCAGAATGGTTCCTTCCCAACAATCCGGCTATTAGCTAGTAAATTTGGCTTTTCACCGGTGCGTAGTCTCATACCACCTGTCTAGGTACCTATGGTGTCTCGGCCTGAGGGACCTACATAAATCCAGGTATAAACGGCCTTATGCGACTGCAACGATGACAACCACTCTTAAGAGCGCTGCAATAATGCGCTAAACTGGACCCTGCAGATCACTAACACGGCCACTGTTTGCGCCAAGCCAAGCCCAGCCCAGCCTGCTGCGTTCATGCACGTCGCATCCGTGACCATGGAGCTGAGAGGCAACCCTCGACAACTTCCAACGTCATTCCCCTATCCACGTGCAGCAAGGCATTAATACTCGCAATCCCGTCTACGATCACTCCCGTCCACCAGATCCGTCCGACGACCAGATCGCGATACAGCTCGAGCTGACCCCTCACTCACCCGGACAGCAGTTCGCGCGAGACCCCCAAGGAGCAACGCAGCGCAACATACACGAGAGTTCGCGATGGATTTCGCACCGTACCAGAGCTCGCCGCCCGAGAACAACCGGCCGTTCTCCCCGCCCATGGCCGAGGGCGCTCTGTCGCCGCGCGCGTCGCTCGATCGTCGGCAGTCCTTCAGCCCGTCCCAGCGCAACTTCACCGCCTCTTCCCCTCCGCCACTACAACACCCGCAGCCGCAGCGCTCGTGGCACGCAGGATATGCTTCCGAAGACGGCTTAGGCGGGGCCGGAGCCGGGGGCGGGATAGGGTTGGGCGGAGGAGGAGGAGGTGGTGGTGGAGGAGGGTTCGTCAGCGAATTCGACACGAGTCTGGGTATACGGCTCGACTACGAGGCTGTCCTTGCGTATATCGGGATACCGCCGCTCGGCGCCATCATACTGCTGATTCTTGAGCGGAAGAGTGATTATGTTAGGTGAGTGTGGCTCGAAAGTGCACTCTCATTAGACCAGGAGGCTCGCGTCGTATCAATCTTGCTTCTGAGATTTTACATTCCAACGAGAGGAGTGAAGAATGGAAGTCTTAGGAGGGGTGTTCAATTTTAAGCGCCTAAGGTTCAAAGCTAATGCCATGGTGCCAGATTTCATGCGTGGCAGTCTAGTCTCGTCTTCACTGTCATGTTCGTCATCCATCTCCTGTTCTCCTGGTCGACGTTCCTCAGCTGGGTCATCGTGCTGGGAGACCTGGCTCTAATCGGGTTTCTCGCGCTTCGTGCGTACCGGGACGCAGATACCCTTGATAGGTGAGTGACTAATCCACATCTATCGTGCTCGATACGACATTA